CGCAGTTCCGCTGGGTCGAGCCGGGCGGTGCGGGCCGGCCGGGTCAGGCAGGCGCGGTGGTGGGTCGGCGCCTGAGTCGGCGGTGCCGGGAACAGGCGCTCGGGGCAGCCGCGCCTCGCTGAGGTCCCCGCCCCGTCCCGGCCGGGCCGGCTAGCCTGTCAGTCACTGGGGCGGAGGCAGCGGCGGTAGCGGGGCCGGAGCCGGGCGGTGAGAAGAGTGAGGGCCAGGCCCAGCGGAGGGGATCTGCCACCGCCCCTCAGCATTACGGACTCTTCGCCCCAGAGTGTCGATGCTGCACCCCCGCGCTTCGTTGGAACGCCTTCCGTAACCCGCCAAGGGCTCTCTCTCTCCTGTGACCTCCCACCCCAGTGACCTCCTCGTAGGACCCGGGAGCGCACTCCGACGAGGGTGTTGTGGGTACAGGCCATCGACCCTGTGACCTCTCACGGGCTGGGGCTCGGTTTCCCCCGCAGGCCTCCCTCCCCTATGACTTCCTCCTCGTAGATTCTGGAAGCAGAGCCGTGACCTACCCCTGGGACCCCCGCCTGAGAACTCCTCCCTGAGGGCTCCCCCTCGGCACCCCGCTCAGTGGATCTCCTCCTAAGACCACCCCTTTTGGTTTCTGGCCAGCCCCCCACCCCCAGTCGAGGTGGGGAGGCCTCGGCAGCCATGCCCACCCTGGGTCCCCTGTCACCACACCGCTCCCTGGGCCCTCAAGCCGGGGTCTAGCCAGAGGGCCGACAGCCAAGGGGCTGGGGCAGGAGTCAGGTCCGGGTCCCCCTCCCTGCTGGGGAGGAGCCGAGATGGACCGGCGGGAGGAGCAGCCGGGGGCTGCCGGGGCTGCAGCGGCACCAGCCGTGGACTTCACCGTGGAGAACGTGGAGAAGGTATGAGGGCCCCGGGGCGGGCACTCCGGTGACAGAGCAGAAGTTCTGGGCACCGACGCGAAGGCCAGAGCCCAGACCTGGGCTGGGTGCCCGCTGGGCTGGTGCCCCCAGGACACCTGGCATTTGCTGTCTCCGGGCAGTCAGGACAGCAGTGTTACAGTGTCGTAAGGGGCTGTATGTGGCTTTCTGCAGACATGGGTCCTCTGTGGAGAGATCCTCCGGGGTCTTGATGGCTTAGACCTGCAGCCAGGTTGGCTCTTATCCAGCTCCAGTGCAATGGGAACCCAGGAACCCAGGAGACCTGCGGCTCAGTCCCCAGGAACCATGCCGATGCTGAGCCATCCTGGACCCTCTTTGTTGAGCCAGGGGCTCAGAAAATAATCGGGGACTCAAACAGTCTGGGTTATGTTTTCAGTCTCTCTTGGAGAAGGGTCCTTCCTTGATTGGACGAAGGCGGGCAGGAGCCTGGCTGGCCCCCTTTGTTTTGCGCTGGGTCCCAGGGGCCTGGTTCTGCTGGCAGCCTCGGGGTTCTTTTCTACCCACCTGCCCATCGAGCTTCCTGCCAGCACCCTCCCAGACTGCCCAGTCCATCTCTTTTGGACACTGCTTCTCTGGTTCTCTTCTGGGTTCTCCCACAGAGGCCTGGAATGCAGAATGACCTCCTCCACCCCCCAGGATTAATGGGGAGGTAGGGTCGCCTTGATGGGGAATGAGGAATAGCTGCAGATACTCATTTGTTACTCTTGAGCCCTGTTTGCCGTACCCAATGGTGAGGATGCATCCCCTTGGCTTCTGTTCTCTGCCTCCTGGAGCAGCCAAACAGCAACAGTGGCTATAAGTGGCTGTCAGAGGGACAGTAGGGCTAAGCCTACTTGGATGGAGACTGCTGAAGCCGTCAGAGGCCTGGTCTCACTCTTCCACCCCATGGGGCTGGGCAGTGTTGGCATGGTGGTGCACTGTTCCGTGTGCTACCAGGGAGATAAACCTCTATTTTCTTGCTGTGTGAAGTCCCAATGGAATGGGGACCCTGGGGATTCAGCTAGTTGAGAATTCCAGGCTAGGCACTTGCCAGGGCAGCAGGCTAGGACTTCTCTGGACCAGTTCTTTGGATCTTCCAGGCGCTCTATGAGGGCTTTTCTCATCCCCTTCTCCACTTTGCTTCTGCACAAGGGCTGCCTGGCAAAGTCTTAGTCCTTCTCAGATTTCACACTGGCTTTGGTGCCAGCATCTGGAGTGACCTAGGGATGATCCTGGGGGAGCTAAATGGAGCTTTTGGAGTTGATTGGAACAGCTGTGCCTGGGAGGGTCAGGGCCCCTCAGGCTGTTTCATGTTCTTCTCAGGCTTAGCTTCATCCCTGTGGAGCCATTCCTTCCACCTGGGCCTTGCCCTTTACCTCACATGCCTCCCCTTTGATGAGCTCAGCCTCCTCTTTGTGTGTGTGTGTGTGTGTGTGCTATCCTGTGGAGGTTCACTCTTTGAATCCATAATGTTTTGCTATAAGGAGAAGAGGATATAGTAGAGCATCAAGAAAGTCCAGGTTCTCAAAATATCGGCAGGACCCTGGGCCCAGGAAACTGCAGAGCCCTGAGCTCTCCCTTTCTGCTCAGCGCCCCCCAGTCAGAAAGAGAGAGCGGTATTGCGGGACCAAATCACACCCTGTTTTCTGGGCTCTGGCAGGATCCAGAGTGGCCAGCACCTGCTCAATCCTGTGCTGTCCCGCAGGCGCTGCACCAGCTCTACTATGACCCCAACATTGAGAACAAGAACCTGGCTCAGAAGTGGCTGATGCAGGCCCAGGTCTCCCCACAGGCCTGGCACTTCAGCTGGCAGTTACTACAGCCTGACAAGGTGCCTGAGATCCAGTACTTTGGGGCCAGTGCCCTGCACATCAAGATCTCTCGCTACTGGAGTGACATCCCCACTGACCAGTATGAAAGTCTAAAGGCGCAGCTCTTCACTCAAATCACTCGCTTTGCCAGTGGTTCCAAGATTGTGCTGACTCGGCTGTGTGTGGCGCTGGCCTCGTTAGCTCTCAGCATGATGCCTGACGCTTGGCCATGTGCTGTGGCAGACATGGTACGACTCTTCCAGGCTGAGGACTCACCGGTGGATGGCCAGGGTCGCTGCCTGGCTCTGCTGGAGCTGCTGACAGTGCTGCCTGAGGAATTTCAGACCAGCCGCCTGCCCCAGTATCGCAAAGGCCTGGTGCGGGCCAGCCTGGCCGTGGAGTGTGGGGCTGTCTTCCCATTGCTGGAGCAGCTGCTGCAGCAGCCCAGCTCACCCAGCTGTGTGCGTCAGAAGGTACTCAAGTGCTTTTCCAGCTGGGTGCAGCTGGAGGTGCCGTTGCAGGACTGTGAGGCTCTCATTCAGGCCGCCTTCGCTGCTCTGCAGGACTCGGAGCTCTTCGACAGCAGTGTGGAGGCCATTGTCAATGCCATCTCACAGCCTGATGCCCAGAGGTGAGCTGGTCCCCGCCTTCCCAGAGTGGGGCAGTCTGCTTGGCCATCCATGCATCCATCCATCCATCTGTTCAGTAAACACTATTTGAGTGCCTACTGCATGCATGGTCCTATGCTGGAGATACAGCAAGGAACCAATCAAGACATGGTTCCTGTCCCATGGTTCAAAGAGGGAGACAGACAGACACTAGACAATTAACCATCCAATGAATTATTCAGTTAAAATAGTTGACTCTTTTTTTTCTCTCAGCCAAGTTCTGGCTGTTCTGCCCCTGACCGTATTGCAAATCTATTTTTTCCATTTCCACTGCCACCACTCTAGTTCAAGCTGTCATTACCTCTCCCCAGGTTATTGTAGAGCTTTCTCGCTAACCCCCTGGTTTTTACTCTTGTACCCTTCCTTCATTGTCCACCCAGCAGCCAGAGTGATCTTTTGAAAATGAGTATGCAATATTTCCTTTCTGCTCAGAACCCTTCTGTGGCTTCTTACTGCTCATAGGGTAAAGTTCAGGATCCTTAATTTGATTCACAGAGATGCTGCACAATATGACATCTCTAGTCTCACCTCATGCCAATCTCCTTGCTTTCTTCACTCTCACAGTCCTTTCAATTCCTTGCATGTCCCGTGCTCCTTCCAGGCTCTGAACCATCACATGTACTTGACACATCACTTCTGTCTCAGCTTAAACTTCACGTCCTTCATGATTTTTAAGACTAAGTTTGGTGTTTTCTATTATTTTATCTCAGAGCTCCCAGTGTTTTTCCTTCTTAGTCCATAACGTGGTTTCATTATAAATTAATGTGTGTCTCCCCATTAGTCTCTCAGCTCTGTGAGGAAGGCACTCTGTCATTTTATTTGGTCATATTGTGCCTGCAGCACTTGGTAGCATTCAATATTTTTTGAACAGATGAAAAGTAGGAGCTGCCAAAGTGACAAGGGGTGGAAGAGGTTGGGGGAGTAGGGAATGTTGCAAGCTTCAGAAACAACAGCAGGTGCAAAGACCTGTGTCGGACACACCATGCACATTCAAGGACTCAGAAGAAAATGAGAGTAGTAAGGTGTTCAGCAAACATTTGTTGAGCACCTGTTTGTGTATTGGGCCCTGTAGTGAGGGCTAGGAGCATAAAGATAAATGAGTTGATTTTTGCAAGTCAGGAGCTCATAACCTAGTAGATACATGAATGGGCAAGTATAGTCAACGTGATGAATACTCTAATGGAGAGAGCAGAGGGGCTGTAAGAACCAAGTCTGTGGGTTGTGAAGGGCTGCCCAGAAAAGGTGACAACTGAGCTATTCTTTGAAGGCTATGTAAGAGTTAGTCAGATGGAGGTGATGGATATGGCGAGGACATTTCAGACAGATGAAGGGTATGATTAGACAGCAGGGTTTAAGGGCCAGTTATAGGAGATCTGGGCCCAGATCATGTAGGACCTTATCAGCCTTAATCTTGTCAGTTTAAGATTTCAGTTTCCATCCTGAAGATGATGTAAAGATATGAAAGGATTTTAAGCAGAGAAAATGGCATGATGAGATTTTTGGAATAAGGTGAATTGGCCGGGGGAAGACTGGAGGCCTGACACTAACATTTCAGAGATGGGACTTTGGGAACCCGTGGCAGAATTGGAGGGGAAAATAACACTGAACGAGACAGCATAGGGGAGTGGTTAATGGCACTAGCCTTGGCATTTCATCACATCTGAGCTTGAATCCCAGATGGTCCATCTACTAGATCTGAGACCTTGAGTAAACCTGTTTCTTCATTAGTAAAATGTCTGTGATCATACTGACCTCACAGAGTTTTAATGATTTAACTAGAATAATGTACACAGGGCCTGTCCCTGGTATTCTGTAAACAATATTTTGTTATGAGGATTAAATAAGAGGAGGTCTGTGAAAGGTCTAGCATGGTTCCCGTGTACTCCAGAAACGGCATTTGCTAGTATTTAGTATCATTGTTGCATTAGCAGTTACTATGATGCCTTTCCCCTGGTTTCCTACGTTTTCAACTTAAGGTGGGTAGCAAGTCTCAGGTCAAGGCCTTCCTTGTCAGCCAGAGCTCAAGTGCTGGCTGGGCTCAGACAGTTGGGTCAGGGGAGTTGGCCAGGGCCAGTGCCTGGGTGATGTGGGATGTCCTTGGATACACCCAGGTTTACCCGCCCAGCCAGTCTCTAGGGCTTTGGCAGGTAATTGATGCCTCTTCTTCTATGAACCAATGAGCAAGCAAGAAGCCAGTGAGAAAGCACACAGCCTCCTAAGTGCCTATTGGCTGCAGTTCCCTTTGTTGCTTAGCAACTCTTCCCCTTTTCAGCTCTGCTCCTGGATCTGTAATTGCAGGTCTGGGCTGAGCTCAGTGTGAGTGGCAGCTAAGGAGTCCCAGCAGCCCTGCCCCAGCAGCTCCAGCTAACCAACTGCAATCAGCCCACTTGAACCCAGTCTCAGCCATGGCACTAAAGACATCCTCTCTTATCTCCCTCCCCAAACTTTAGGGGCTTTGGGTGTGCTTTCCTGTCTACTCACAAGTCTCAGGCACAGGTACCCAAGGGTAAGAAATCTATGCAAGAGTTTCCCCAGTGGGTGGGCTGCACCCAGCTTGGAGTTCGAGTTTGGACCTTGCTGTATTGTAGTCATGGTTTCTTAGCTTTGGCTTGAGAAAGTCACCTTCAGTGGTTTTGACTTCTGGGTCATCCAGCCACCGCCTTACCCAGGTTTCCTGACATCAGCCCTCCCCTTGACTAAGCTTGTACTTGTACCCTTTTCCCTCTCCTCCACAACTGCTGCTGCTTGCCTGACTCTCCTTTGAAATGCGCCCCCCCCCAATATGTTTTTAATTCTGGAAAAGCTTTTCATTGGTGACTGGGGGAGGAGAGAAGGTGAATTAGGCTCTTGGAAGCCCCCATCAGTTAGGACTCGAGATATGGGCTGAGATCCGTATAGATCCTTTGGGGAAATTCAGGTTGGACCCTGAAAGAGATGCAGACCTACAACAGTATAAGGGCCTTTCTCAACCTGGAACCTATCTCTAACTTGCTATATGACCTTGAGTAATACTCTGAGTCCTTCTGGGCTATATTGTCCTCGATTTATCTTATTATAAGGCTCAGATAAGAGAAATTAAGAAAATTCATTGAGGACCTATTGTATACAAGAATTTTGGCAGGTGTGAGCAGCTTTGGAGGGCAGTGGGAGTGCTATGGGGGCAGGGCACTACCTCCTGCCCCCATCTCAGCAGCTGGGAACTTGGGGATCTTGGCCTTGGCCCTGCCCCTGCTCTTTGTGCCAGATCTGGCCTGAAGGTGCCCATTGTCTGGTGGTACAGCCTGTGTCAGGGTCATGAGACTGAAGCTATCCCAGCTGTCTCTAGGCAGCGCCCTCTGGGGCTGTCTCTGGTCTGAGATATCCTGGTATGAACGTCTTATCTCACCAAAACGGGGGTGTGGAGAAGACCAACATATTGGACTGCTTGCCTCTGTCCACATTTTACCCCTAAAGTTATTAGGTTACTTACCTAACAACCTGCTTGGGGCAAGTCCATGTTGAACTCCTGGGCACGCAGTTTCTCCCCATCTCCTCTCCATAGATTGCTATGGTGACGGCATGATTGACAGCAGAGGAGTCCCAAGCATCTGAGTCCCCAATGAGAGTGTCACTCACTTCCTCTGTTTAATCTGGTCTCCACAGAGCAGGCTACTGGGGAGGAGACCAGTGGGAGGGAGCTAGCCTTCTCTCAGTCTCTTTTGTGTACTGTGCTTCCTCTGCCCCTCCTTTAGGGGTCATTGTGCTTCTGGGCTCTGACCTGGACGTCTTCTCTCATTCAACACTTTCTTCCTGAGCAGTTCTCATCTACTCCTGTAACTCCAATTACCAGCTCTTCTCTGATGACTCTAACATCTATGTCTCTTGCTCTAACCTCTCTGTTGAGTTTCATGTTTTTATATCCAACTCTCTGGACACTTCTACTTGCATATCTCATCAGGTACCTCTGATTCAACATGCCTAACACTGAACTTACTGCCCTCAGCCTCCCATTAAATTTGGTACTGTCCCTCTCCACCCACCCCTCCAGGACTATAGTCCTACTGTCCACCTGGTTGTTTAGTCAGTAACCTGAGGGTTTTCCCTGACTCTTTCCCATCTTCACATCCAGTTAATCATCAAGTCCTGTTCATTTTGCCCTAGCTCTCTCTGAGTTCATCATCTGCTTTCCCTTCTTACTGCTACCAGATTACATAGGAGTTAGGGTTTGGTAGGGGGTGAAGTGGAAGGTGGGGATTGATGCTCGTAGGAGCTGTTGCTGCCTTTTAAAGTCTTTAATATGGTTCCTGTTAACTCTTCTATCTCCCATCCTGTTCAGTCTCCCCGAACAGTATCTGTGTTCGTTTCCTAGACCTACCGTCATAAAGTACCACACACTGGGTAAATAACAGAAATTTACTGTCTCGCACTTGTAGAGGCTAGAGGTCTGAAATCAAGGTATCAGCTCCCTCTGACACCTATAGGAGATTCCTTCCTTGCCTCCTCCTAGCTTCTGGTGGTTTGCTGGCAACCTTTGGTGTTCCTTGGCATGAGCTGTATAACTCCCATCTCTGCCTTTGTTATCACATGTCATTCTCCCTGTAGGCCTCAGTCTTCACATGGATGTCTTCTTATAAGGACACCAGTCGTATTAGGAGCCCCCCTACTCTGTGACCTTATCTGCATTGACCCTATTTCCAAATAAGATTACATTCTGAGGTACTAGAGGGTAAGACTTATCCAATCTCCCCCAAAGTCTTAATGCATTCCAGCATCAATTCTAATAGGAAGATACAATTCAACCCATAATACTGACCTTATACTTCCTTTCCAGAGTTTTCCTGGAGGTCTCTGACCTAAGCTTCTTCCCAACATGGGCAGCTGCCATGTAGGCCCTGATCTCTCTTTTGCTTTGGATTTGATGTGAGGAGGGGGACTTTAATGGAAAACTGGGCGAATGTACCCTTCTTTCAAATCTGGTGAGGGATGGGCAGACAGCTCTGATGCGTCTCCTCCCCTCGTGCCTCCAGGTATGTGAACACACTCCTGAAACTCATCCCACTGGTGCTGGGACTGCAGGAGCAACTGCGACAGGCAGTGCAGAATGGGGACATGGAGACCTCCCATGGCATCTGTCGCATTGCTGTGGCCCTTGGCGAGAACCACTCTCGGTGAGGAGTGGAGCAGCTGGGGGTGGGATAGCAGGGCACTGTAAGGAGGGGAGGTTATGGCGCCTTCTTGAGTGACCTTCTATATCTCCTTCCTCCAAGGGCCTTGCTTGACCAAGTGGAGCACTGGCAGAGCTTCCTGGCCCTTGTCAACATGATCATGTTCTGCACGGGTATCCCTGGCCACTATCCTGTCAATGAGACCACCAGCTCCCTGACACTCACCTTCTGGTATACACTGCAGGTGTGTCTATGTGACCTCCAGTAGGAGGGGGCCATGATGGAAGAAGGTGGCTAATGGGCTTCTGTGGCTGCTGGTGAGGTGGCTAATACTCTTCCCTGGCTCTCAGGATGACATTCTGTCCTTTGAGGCAGAGAAGCAGGCTGTGTACCAGCAAGTGTACAGGCCAGTCTACTTCCAGCTGGTGGATGTGCTTCTGCACAAGGCCCAGTTCCCTTCTGATGAGGAATATGGATTCTGGTCCTCAGATGAGAAGGAGCAGTTCCGAATTTACAGGTGATGGTAGCAGGTCAATCCTAGCTCTAAGTGGAGTCCTGAAATAATGAAGGCAATGAGGGGAGGGGCCCAAGCACAGGCTCCCTGAATCCTGGGGCTCCTTTCTCTATTTTCTAGGCACTTTTACATGGTTGTGAGGTTACCAGGGTGGGTTCCTGGGCTTGGGGGCAAGATCCAGGCTGTGTACAAGGTCTTCATCTGCTTCTCAGGGTGGACATCTCAGACACGCTCATGTATGTTTATGAAATGCTGGGGGCCGAGCTGCTCAGCAACCTCTATGACAAGCTGGGCCGTCTGCTCACCAGCTCAGAGGAGCCCTACTCCTGGCAGGTACCCCTCAAGCCTGATTCCCTCAGCCCTCCCAGATCTGTCACACCCTGCTCTTCGGCCAAGCCAGTGGCACCCTCTTTCCCCAGCACACAGAAGCCCTGCTCTATGGCTTCCAATCCATCGCAGAGACCATTGATGTCAACTATTCTGATGTGGTGCCTGGGCTCATTGGCCTCATCCCACGGATCAGCATCAGCAACGTGCAGCTGGCGGATACCGTCATGTTCACCATTGGTGAGACCTGGTACACACCCATGAGCACATTCTAGAGCCATAGGCACCCATCCCCTGCTACAGCCAGCCTCCTGGGTCCCATCCACAATGAGAGATACACATGGCCACACACACAGTTGGTGTTGCAGCCAACTAACTGTCCTGGCACATCTAAGGGTCCTTCCTAGTGAGTGTACTGAGCTGCAATTCAGTGAGGCTAGTCCTGCTTCTCAGCTTTAAGGATCATGTTTGATCATGTGCATGCATATTTGCCCATTCAGTCCTCTGAATGAACAGTGCTCTGTACTGGGGCTGCAACTTGACCCTGCCCGGCAGCTCTGCCTGCCTCACAGGGACATGGTCAGCCTCAACTATCCTCTCCTCTCTCTCTCCCTTCTTCCTCCAGGAGCTCTGTCTGAATGGCTGGCTGACCACCCCGTCATGATCAACAGCGTTCTTCCCCTTGTACTGCACGCCCTAGGCAATCCTGAGCTCTCTGTCTCTTCTGTGTCCACCCTCAAAAAGATCTGCCGAGAATGCAAGTATGACCTGCCACCCTATGCTGCCAACATCGTGGCCGTCTCCCAGGTATGCAGGGGCCCTGGGAGGAACTGGGCCTCAGGCACACTCTGCACTGCTCTGATAGAGTATTTCTTCTTTTTATCCCTAGGATGTACTGATGAAACAGATCCACAAGGTGAGCTCAAAAGTTTCTAGGGGGCTCCCTGGGGATATTGCAGGAACCCACAGAAATCCTGTCTTCTGCCTTGTTCTTTACTCTCTGTTCTTGGAAGCTTTCCAGTTGGTTCATTCTCCCATCCACAACCAGATGTGTTCAGGACTGACCCTCCATGTTCTGTCCCACAGACAAGTCAGTGCATGTGGCTGATGCAGGCATTGGGCTTCCTGCTGTCAGCCCTGCAGGTGGAGGAGATCCTTAAGAACCTGCACTCGCTCATCTCGCCCTATATCCAGCAGCTGGAGAAGCTGGCAGAGGAGATAGTGAGTGAGAGCTGGGGTGTGTGTGTGTGTGTGTGTGTGTGTGTGTGTGTGTGTGGCCAGGGAGGAGCAGGGGTGGGATTCTGGGGCTACCCTTTGTGTGGACTGTGCTGCTGAGGGATAGGGTTGGAGCTGGCAGTCAGGGCTGGGGCCAGGGGGCCAAGCTGGGACTGGAAGATCCAGAACTTGGTTCTCTTCTCCCCATAGCCTAATCCCTCCAACAAGCTGGCCATTGTCCACATCTTGGGGCTTCTCTCCAACCTCTTCACCACGCTGGATGTCAGTCATCATGAGGATGATCATGAAGGCTCTGAGCTCCGGAAGCTGCCAGTGCCACAGGGACCCAACCCCGTGGGTGATGTTGTCATTGCCATTGCCCCCACCTCCCAACCCTGTGGGAATGTCATTGTCACCTCCAATTCTATGGGTAATATTGTCATTGTCCCCTGTGGCATGATGCATTTGGTCCTGTGAACCATCTTATTGCCTCCCACTCTCTGGGGGGTGATGTCATTATCTCACCCTGTGGGTGGTGTCTTTGTCCCCAGCCCAACTAGGATGATGTCATTGTGGTTCCCCCACCCCATAAGGGACACTGACATTATCTTTCAACCCCTAAGTGATGTAATTATGGGCCCCTGTTTAACCCCTAATTCCAGGGCCTTTCTACTTCAGCATTCACTGTTCCCTGTGGGCACCAAGGATGCTTACGGTACATGCTCTGCATGTAATAGTTTTTACCTTCGAGTTGCTCCCAATCTAGAGGAAATACATGTAAACAGATTGTCACAAAGCGGTGTGATAAATGCTGTGGTAAGCTCGGGCAGGCACAGGGTGTTGGGTGACCACTATAAGCTATTTGATCTGGGGCAAGCCTAGCTTCCCACTCAAAACTGTGAACATCAGAATATTGGCTTGCTCATCTCATAGAACTGTTGGGTAGCAGATGTGGTCTGAGCAAAAGTACTCTGCATACTGTGAAGTTTTGTACAAATGTGAGGGACTGCTTTGATCATTGTTCCCAGTACCCCCTTTAGTGTGTCTCCTGAAGAGAAGGGAGCCACAGTGTCCTGGCCCCTCTGCTCAACTCCCCACCCTAGTTTCAGTTACCCTTTGGCTCCAGACTAAATCTCTGCCACAGAGCCCCTTCGATGGTAGTCATCATCCTGCCTTCCCTCACCTCCCAGGACCTCATTCTGCTCTCTGCTCCTGCATAAGCTGCCCGTATTATGCATCCCTTGGGCTGTCTACTCTAAGCCTATCTGGGGCAAGCCTGTAGGCTTTTGGCACTAAGAGTTTTACTGAGCAGAAATAGAGAGGAAGTTGCAAAGTTTTAGTAATCTTTTTTTCCCTCTTTCCTCTTATTTTTTTATTTGTCCCATCACCATTTATCCCCTGTATACCTTCCTCACCTCCACCCAATTGATAACCCTTACAATTTAGTAATCTTATGAAGCACTCATAATATCCCTGCTTTACAATTTGAGGCTTCTTCTAAGAGGATCCCTAGAACTCAAATATCCTCTTTCATTCATAGGGCATTGAGCAAACACTCCTGCCAGGGTCCCATGCATTGAGTCTGCAATACGCAGTCTGGGGTAATAGGTTTGAATTTGAACTCCTGGCCTACCTCCTACTACCAGGTCCTTCTCCAGTGGGTGACAGTGGTTGTGGGGGCATCTTCTTCCTGTGTCTGCAGGTGGTAGTGGTGCTGCAGCAGGTCTTCCAGCTTATCCAGAAGGTGCTGAGCAAATGGCTGAATGATGCCCAGGTGGTGGAGGTGAGCCCCAACCCTTGCTCTCTGCCCCATGGTGACTTTTCTCAGAGGTGGAGCAGAAGGAAGGTATTGCTGCCCCACTTAAGCTTGCGATGGTCTTGAGGAAATAAAGGAGGCAAATCCTTTTCCATAGATACAAGGAATCCTCTGGGAAGGCATTCAGAACTTCCCAGTATCACAAGAAATGCTCAACCAAAGGACTGTGATGTGGCTGAGTGACAGTCAGGGATCCACTTTCGCATCAGAGACCTGCCTTTGGTCTCTTTTTAATTCAGGATTTTGTTGCTGTTGCTGCTCCCTGAGAGGAAATAGTGGAGATGTGAGTAGGAAGAGTTACAAAGTTCCATCTGTGCCCCTCTGAAAAGGGCCTTTTTGCCTCCTGCCTTTCAGGGTGAGGGTGAGACTTCCTTACCTTCCTTGGTTCGCAGAGCCAGGCAAGGCTCATAGGTAAGGGCCCCTTCCAGGCCTCCTCTGTGCCAGGCCTCCATTCTGTTCCAGCCTATTGTGACTTGCTGACCAGGGCCCCTTTTCTTTTTCTTTTTTTTTCAATTGAACTATATATGGCATATAACAATGTGTAAATTTAAGGTCTACAACATATTAATTTGATACATTTCTATATTGTAACGTGATAAAATTGCCATTATAGCCATAATTAGCTCCTCTATCATGTCACATAATTCGCATTTCTTTTTAGTAGTTAGAATAATTAAGATCTAGTGTCTTAGCAAATTTGATGATTATAATACAGTATTTTTTTCTCTTTCATGGGCCCCTTTGCTTCCTCCCAAGGCGGTGTGCGCTATTTTCGAGAAGTCTGTTAAGACGCTATTGGATGACTTTGCCCCCATGGTGCCACAGCTGTGTGAGATGCTGGGTCGGATGTACAGCACCATCCCCCAGGCCTCTGCTCTTGACCTCACTCGACAGGTGGGCCTTCTGATTAGGACAACAGTCTTCTGGATTTCATCCTAATTAGAGATCTGTCTAACCAGGATGGGGTAGGTGGGTGGAGTGGGTTGATGGTTGCCCTGCCAGAGGTCCTCACCTGCATTCCAGGGATGCTGACCTATCCTGGTGATGCAGGGCCTCAGCTGACCAGCATTCCTTGCTTTGTTGTAGCTGGTCCACATCTTTGCCCACGAGCCTGCCCACTTTCCCCCAATCGAGGCCCTCTTCCTGCTCGTCACCTCCGTCACACTCACTCTCTTCCAGCAAGGTAGGTCCTGACCAGGGTCTCTGCTGCCGCCGCCACTGCCACTGCCTCTGCTTCCCTGACTGGGGAGCCAAAGCTGCCCATTATGTTCTCCTCTGTCCCCTGAGTTGCACATGGGACTTGATGGGAAACTTATGGGATCGAGCACAACATAATTGTCAACCTTGCAAATAGTTGACACCTTAGATTGAAGTGGATAAGAGAGTGAATGATATCTTCTACTGGCCTGCTGGGCTAAGGGCCAGTCTGGATGATGGGAAAGATGGGGCCAGAAGCTCTGAGGGGCTTGGGTACCAGGCTGGCTCCTTTTCTTTGGGATATAATGAAAAGTAGAAAGAGCATGGGCTTTGAAATCAGGCACACCTAGATTCTAAGCTCATCACCACCAACTAGTTGTGTGACCTTGGGCAAGTCACTTACCTTTGTAGAGCCTTTGTTTCCATATCTGTGAAATGGAGATTTCTTATATTTGATAGGATTATTGTGGGCATTAAGTAGCATCTTTTGGGCCTTTGGCTTGGGGCTTTTACACATAAAGTTTATTCCCTTCCAGGCCAAAAGCCTATGGCTGTGGTCCCACCCCCTGTCCCCATTCACTGGCCCTTAGCCTGAGAGAATTGGCAAAAGGGAGCTCCAAGCTTCCCCTGCTGTCTAACCAGGCTTCTAACTTGGAAATGAAACTCACTGCTCTCCACCAGCCTCATGAATCGTGCCTGGACTCGTGGTTGCAGGATTGAGGCTTACCAAGGGTCTCAGCTGGAGCCAGAGTGCTCTCTGCTTGTGTCCTTGGTGTCTGGTCACATGACACTGGCCTCTGCTGTGGTGGGCTCTGGGTAGGTCCAAAGTGTGGAGAGAGCTGAGCCAGAAGGCCAGATGTGGGTATCCTCAACTCTACTCCTTTCACTCCTCCTGTCTAGTTGGAGACAAGTCTTGGTGGTCCTGCCTCCTGATTATCCCACAGTCTGTCCCCTGCTCCCCACCCTCCATGTCCAAAGTCTCGGTATAGGGTGTCCGGATTACCTCAACAATTTTCTGACTGGTTTTCCTGGCATCTGCCCTTCTCTCCAATCCATTCTGCACCCTGCAGCTGTAATGTTCTTTATAAAACACAAATCTGAGCATTTTCCATCCCTGGCTTAAAACCCTTTCATTGCTCCCCATTGCCCTCATCCCATTCCTACCCACATGGTGTAGCGCCTGCATACCTCTCGCTGTCCTCTCCTGCCATTGTCCCCATGACTCCAGCTGTCCAGCCACACTGACTCTTCCCTTATCATGTCCCATTTGATTCCTGTGCCTTGCTCCCTTTCGGGAGTACCCTAAGCCCTTTACTGGGTGAGCTCTCATTCCTTCACACCTTACCCATGCATCATTCCTCAGAAGCTTCTCTGAATCTAACTTCCTGCTGAAACTGCATCATGTACACACTGTTGATACAGCGCCAATTACACTCAATAATCAGCCTTCACGTCTGTCACTCTCCCTCTCCCTAAACTAAGCCCCTGAAGGACAAGGCTAGGTCTCTTCTCTCTGCATCCCCAGTGTCCAGAATGAGGCCAGCACGGAGCAGGTACCAGACACTGTTAAAGAAAGGAGGGTGAGGGCTCCCTGACCTCAGAATCTTTCTCCTTCACTGTCTGGCCCACGCCAGCAGGGCGACTGTTGAATATCAAACCTATTGTCTGCAGTGTGACCCATGCCTGGGGCACATCAGGCCTCATTTTCCAGGACTTGAGTAACTCGGGGTTCAGATGTGAAAGGGGCGGGCTTTATCAGTGGCCTGGAGAAGGAAACAAGGAAGAGATTATTATCTGCTTTACAGTGGGGAAACCAAGTGTTGGTGGCTTGCGCAAGATCACACAGCTCCTTAGTGGTGTCTCAGGCAGGTGTTCCTGCCGTGTCTGCAACTGAGAGTGGAGTGGCCCTGGCAGGAGCTCCAGGCGCATGCCGTGTCCTTGCCACAGTTATCAGAACTGGAGGCAGAATAGTGTCCAGCATCCTATTTGTTGGGCTTGTTGGTTGTCTTGCGGACAGGATGGTCCCCTCACCTGTATGCTGTCCCAGTTTTGCCCTCCCTTCCTCGGGCTCTGCCCTCCACATTAACTGGGTTCCCTTCTTCATGTGGGCTGGTGGTGGGAGCTGGTCCTCAGCCCTGAGCCTGGCTCTCTGCTGAGTCCTTGTCCATGTGGAGGGGCTTTGCTGGGTGGGACTTTCATTTTTGGCCTCAAGAGGCAGTCTCCTTCCCTAGGCCCTGCCAATGGGTTGCCTGGCCATCCCCACTGCATATTGGGCACTGCCCTCCCCAAGAAGGAGCCCTCTGGTTTAAGTGGACCCAGTAGGTTCCCTTCCTTGGCCAGACCAAGAGCATTAAGGCCATTGAAGTGAGGGGGCACCCGCTCGGGTTCTGTTCCCTGGCCATTTCAGGGCCTTCAGCCAGCCTCCAAAGGAGGTACCAAGAACCAACCAGCTCTGCCCTCCTGTTCGATGGCTAGTGATGGGGAAGCAGCTTAGGGCCACTCCAAACTGCCAGAAACCGAAGCAAGAATTCAGGGGCTGTTTCTTCAGCTCTGTGGAGTCCAGCATTGCTCCAGCACCACAGGACAACTTGGGGGACTGACCTAGAGGAGCGGGGAGTAGGTGGAAGGCCCCTTGGGAGGGAACTGGGGCAGGCCCGTCCTTCACTTTGCCGTCTCTTTCTGTTGGGCTTCTCCCAGTTCATGGTTTTTGTATGTTTTGTTTCTTTATCTTGCTTCCTGCTGCTCATGTGCCCCCACGCTGTCTCCCTGCAGGCTCTCAGTCCCACATAACTATATGAGGTTGAGTTGCTGTTTGTATAATTTTTTCTTAAGTTCCATCTTTATTATATTTTAGGGCCCAGGGATCATCCTGATATTGTTGATTCATTTATGCAACTCCTGGCACAGGTGTGTTTTAGTTTTATTCATTCACGTTCTGTTCTCTCTCTTTCTCTTTCTCTTATGTTGAAATTCAATTTAAGCCTATTTTTAGCTTTCTGTTGACAAATTTTTTTTCTGTTCAGTTGAATAGAGTTTCTTCATCTGTTTCCGTGGAAGTTGACAACCCAACATCCTCCTTTAGTGCCCCTTTGCCTCAGCTAGCTCAGTCTTCTACAGAGACCAGGGAGAGGCTGACCCCGAAGGGAGGCAGTGGGCTGGCCTGGTGGGGGTCGGGAGGGGAGGGGGTGGTCACTGTGCCCAGCAGCTCCTGTGCGGCTGGGGTGCCCAAGCAGTTCAGGGGTAGAACTGAAGTTCAAGGGCCTGGGGTTCATTGTCCCCGTGCTCCTGCCGGGAACTGCCTGCCTCAGGGCCTCCAGCCTCCTCTTGAGAGGTAGGCTCCGAAGGGAGGGGCTGAGATGAATGTGCTTCCGTGGAGCCCAGAGCCCAGAGCCGGGCTGCTGGACAGGTTGTGCTGCTTCTGGGAGGCGGGGTGCTGGCTCCACTGTGAGACTGTGTTAGGTTGTATGTGTGTATAAATGTGTCAGAACTTTGTATGTTTTGAGTTTGGTTTGGTGAGAACAGAAATCATGTAACTGCTGTAAGTAGTGTGTGTATTATGTTGGATTTGTAGTTGACATGTGGATATGTGTGTTGGTGTGTGTTTTATGTTGATGTGTGTTAGGCATTGATGGATTTTGAATGTTGATATGTGTTGGAGGCATGTGCATGTTGGGCTGTGGGAATGTGTATTATGGAGGATAGGTATATATATTGTGGTATCGGTAGGTCTGTATTAGGGTATGTGTGTTTTGGAAAAGATATGTGTTGGGCTGTGGGAACGTGAGGTTAGCATATGGGAGTTCTGTGTGTTAGGGGGCTTCTGCAGGTTGGGGGGGTCCTGTGGGTAAAGGTAAATAATGTGGGGGTTTTATTAATTATTCCACAAATATTTATTGTGTAATACATGCTTGATACTCTGCTAGGTGCTGAGGATATAATGGTGCGCAAAAGCGGCACGGTTCTTACTGTTTTGTAACTTATAGTTTGTTTGGGGGGCAGGGTAAAAGCGTGGGGAATAGGGAGTGTTCTGGGCCTGGATGGATAGGTGTGTGGGTGTCTGTGAGGGTGTATCTTTGTGGGTGAGGGTGTTTGAGTGTGTATTTGTGGATGGATGTGTTGAGAGAGTACACGTGCTGGAAGATTGGTAGATTGAGGGTGTGGGTGTGGAGCTGGTTTGGGGATGTGGCGGTTTGAGTGTGTGAATATGTAGTGAGGGTGCATTGCAAATGTGGGAGAGTGTGTGTGTGTGTAAGGGAAGTGTGTTTGAGGGTGAGTAGGGTGTTTCCATGAGGGTGCGTGTGAGTGAATATGGCAGACTGGAAGGTATGTGAGGGGCTGGAGAGTTAGGGGACTGTGTGTTATGCCTTGGGAGGCTGCTGGGGGACAGCAGCATTTGATGACTGCTGGAGCTGTGCAGAGCATCTCCTGTGACCTGGGGATGTGCCAGTCATGTCCTGGTACCACTTGGGGCGGGCTCTCTGCCCCCTGTACTCCATCCATTTCCCCTCACATGGCAACACGGCTCCTGGGCTGGGTGTGGCTGTGATGGCCCTGGACACAGGGTATCCTGGGTGAAAGGTAGGGCCATGGCTCCAAGGCTCCTACCCTATTTTTCCTCTTTCTGATCTAAAGGGTGTCTGGGGAGTGACAGGACATGGGAGGAGGCTGTTGGACTGTGTTCCACATCCAGTTGCCATTTCTTCTTCCTGCTTCTCTGTTAATAAATACAGGGGGCCTAAACTGCCTCTATGAATCAAGAGAAATCCCTGCTGGTACTTGAGCCTGCAGGAATCTGGCCCTGATGGAGGGGAGAGGGGAAGGTGTTTGCTCAGGGAGTAACTTGGGACCCAAGCTATCTGCCTTACGACCCCCAACCTCTCTCCTATACACTGTGCATTCATGTACACATACATGTACACAGCATTCCTTGGCTGCTCCTCTCCTGGCCTCTGGAACTCTGGGATGGCCTGTGTCCCCAGAGATGGCTGGGTAGTTGGTTTTGACAGCATCTACCTGTGGTGTGTAAAGTTGGGCCCTGGGGTGGCAGGTGAGTGGGGGGGTGGTCTTTGCAGCTGGCTGGGGCTGGGCTTACCAGCTCCACCTCCTGCAGGCTCTGAAGCGGAAGCCAGATTTGTTCCTGTGTGAACGGTTGGATGTCAAAGCTGTGTTCCAGTGTGGTAAGTGGGGCAGTTGGACAAGTGGGCCTGGGGCCCCCTTGGGAGGATCCTTAGGTTCTATCTGATCTGCTTCTGCCTCTCCCACAGCTGTGCTGGCCCTCAAGTTCCCTGAGGCACCTACTGTCAAGGCCTCCTGTGGCTTCTTTGTGAGTCCCATGCTACCCCTGACCCCCCACCACCCCTGGGACCCCAGAGGGTAGGGGTGTGGTATACTGAAGGAGCTGGGCTGACAGGCCTCTTTATCCTCTGCAGACAGAGCTACTGCCTCGATGTGGGGAAGTAGAACCCGTGGGAAAGGTAGTACAGGAGGATGGCCGTATGCTGCTCATAGCAGTGCTGGAGGTGAGATGGAGCAGGGGGGCGCTTGATGTGGGTACGGTAGCCCTTGCTTCTGTGGCAGCTGCCCTTTTGGGAATCTTGAGCCTTTGGTTCCCTAAACTCTCTGATTCTGTTTTTTCCTCATTTAAATGTCTGAAAGTTGTCAGAGTTGGCTCTCAAAAAGCAGCACTCACTTGTCATATGCAGTTTGGCAGAGGAACTGTCTGGGGGAGGGGGGGCATGGCTCAGCCCTCTCTGCAGAAAGGACAGGCCCTGGTACTGAGAACCCGTCTTCCTCAGGCCATTGGGGGCCAAGCCTCCCGCAGCCTCATGGACTGCTTTGCCGACATCCTATTTGCTCTGAACAAACACTGCTTCAGCCTCCTGAGCATGTGGATCAAGGAGGCACTGCAGCCACCTGGTTTTCCCTCTGCCCGCCTCAGCCCTGAACAGAAGGACACCTTCAGCCAGCAGATCCTTCGGTGAGCAGAGCTGGTGGGGCCTGGGCTCAGGTCTGAAAGAGAAGATGAAGTAGTGGTGGATGGTGCTAACCTGGTCTCCCTTCTCTCCTTCAGCGAGCGAGTGAACAAGAGGCGGGTAAAGGAGATGGTGAAGGAGTTCACACTGTTGTGCAGGGGACTACATGGCACAGATTACACAGCCGACTACTGAGGGGCGTTCCCGTCCCACCCACTCCTCACTCCTCCCTATCCCCAAAGAGTAAACCTGGACCCTCACTGCACCATTGTCTCTGCTTCCTTTCTACTGCCACCGCCACCTAACTGGATGACCCAGAAGGCCTGGGATAAGGATGGGAGGATGCTTGGACCCGGGCCTTGATAGGGACTGGTAGAGCCATCCTCTAGCTCCTAGGGTGGAAGAGATACTGCCAGAGCCACTCAGAATGTTGCCATTGCTCTTGGGGTGGGATGGGGATTGCAGTAGTATCAGCACCCTCTCCCCTTTAAATTAGTTCCATGTTCATGAATGCGTACATTTATTTAATCAACAGTGTTGAGTACTGAGTCCCTAGTTCTGCCTTGTTCTGTCTAAACAAAGGCTGATCTAGTCCATACTTACCATGCTAAGCTGGGAGAATGGGACCATGAAGGCTGCATGAAGGAAGTTTTATTTTATTTTTAAGTGTTTTTATTGACGTTTAGAGAGAGAGGAAGGAGAGGGAGAGAGAGAAACATCAATAAGAGAGAAACAGCCGAAAACAGTTTGGCTCAGTGGATAGAGCGTCGGCCTGCGGACTGAAAGGTCCCGGGTTCGATTCCGGTCAAGGGCATGTACGTTGGTTGCAGGCACACCCCCAGTGGGAGATGTGCAGGAGGCAGCTGATCGATGTTTCTCTCTCATCGATGTTTCTAACTCTCTATCCCTCTCCCTTCCTCTCTGTGGGAAATCAATAAAATATATAAAAAAAAATAAGAGAGAAACATCATCGATCATTGATCAGCTGCCTCCTGCATACCTCCTGGGGATCAAGCCCTCAACCTGAGCATGTGCCCTGACCAGGAATTGAACCGTAACCTCTTGTTTCATGGGTCAATGCTCAACCACTGAGCCATGCCTGCTGGGCTATTTCTTTAAAAAAAATTTTTTTTAATTGATTTCAGAAAGGAAGGGAGAGGGAGAGAGAGATAGAAACATCAGTGATCAGAGAGAATCATTGATCAGCTGCCTCCTGCATGCCCCCCACTGGAGATTGGGCCTGCAACCCAGGCATGTGCCCTGACCGTGACCTCCTAGTTCATAGATTGTTGCTCAACCACTCAACCATGCTGGCTGGGCAGGAAGTTTTATTTCTGATATAAATGGGAGGCTTCTGAGGTAGAGGACTTGGGACTTAGGCTGGGTCTAGTTGGGAGGGAAGAATTGGAGAGTGGCTTTGAGTTTCAGGATGGGTTTCTGGTGTGGGGTTATGGAGGCACCCAAACTTGTACATGGTTGGTGAGAGGTATAGAAAGTGGAACTGAGCATGTGTGGGAGGAGGCATTGCAGACCCCAGAGGAAGAGGAAGGCAGGACCCAATGTTGTCTGTATACTGAGTCCCCAACGTGATGGTCAGGGCTTGGTCAGCACCAGGGACAGCTCCTGTCACTTGCTCTCCCTTTGCAGGGTCCCCTTTCTGTCTCCTCAGTCACAGTTACATCTGGGCTGCCTCTCAGGCACCCCAGCCTTCTCCTCAGTGAGATCTGAGAATGGGCCTGGGTTTTCCCCACCCTGTCGTGAACCTGAGTCTCCTTAGAGATGATAGAACTGATTACTTTTATATTCCTTCCCCTGTTCTTTTCCCAACTTTTGCACAAATTCTGTGTCCATTCCTCATCCTCGATCAATCTCTTCCCATGCCAGCCTTTCATGTGCCATCCCCTGAGGCCACTCTGTCCCACTGCCCCTGCTAGAGTCTCACCTTACTCTTGATTTCTCAATTCTCTTCTCCTACTACGTGCTAACCAGTGCTTCTTCCTCCTTTTCTGCCCCTCCCCCATGACCAGTGTAGCACATGAGCTAGGAGAATGAAGTCAAAAGCGCAGCTTCTGAAATCAGACCTAGGTTTGCTAGATTGTGCCACTGACTTGCTGTGTCTTATTAGACAGGTAGTTAGCTTCTTTGAATCTCAGCCTCCTGACCTATAAAATGGGACAATTCTTACTCCAAAGACTGTAAACTCTGAGGATGTATAGTGCCTGATGAACAGTAATACTCAATGTTTGCCTACCTGACCGACTGCGGGTAATAGCAATGCTTTCAGTACATGTGATATGCAAAGGACTACTTGTAAGGTTTTATGTCTAAATTGTTTAGACTCCCAACAATCCTATTAGGAGTATTTTTGCTACAAGCCCCATTCTGCAGATTAGGAGACAGCCATGGAGAAGTTGGAGTTGCTCAAACTGGAGTAATTATTTTCAGGGAATGGGTGTTTCTGAGAGTGGGCGGTGGGCTGAACCAGAAAACTCTCTGCGCCTGGAGAGGAGGGCTAGAGGAACTACAATACCCACAAGGCTCCGCATCTCCCCCCGGAAGTACTTCCGGTTGGCCTTGTGCTGTGAGGCCAATGGGCGGTTTGGTAGGCGACGATTGGAGAGCCGGAGCCGTGCTGGTTTGAGATTGGTAAAATTGCTATCAGCCCCGCCTCGAGACCCGGAAGTAATCTCCGGTTGGGTCACGTGTAGCGAGGAACGGGAGTTTTGGATGCGCGACTAGCTGTTCCACTGCTGGCGGCCTGAGTCCCAAGCTCCCCGCGCTCATCAAAGGACTGTGACCCATTGAGGACGCGGAGGCCGAGGGATCCCCGCTGCTTCCCGCCACCTAAGCTGTACCTCATGGAGTCTACATTCAGCAGCTCCGCCGAGGCGGCGCTGCAGCGGGAGGCGGGGGCCGCCGGGCTGCTCACGCCTCTCTCGGACCTGGACCGAGTGTACGAGCTGCAGCGAGTCGTCGGTTTTGTCCGTGACCTGGGGTGCCAGCGGGTGAGGGCAGGTTGGGGAGGATGGCTCACCTCTCGGATGGGTCGCCCATAGGATGGGGTCTCGGGGTAATTTTGTGCGGATGGGGGGGTGGGGGTGAGGTGAGGTGCTTCTCTGGGACGAGAGGCTTTGAAGGTTGGTTGGGTGGGGACTCCCGGAAGGTTTTCCTTGAAGAGACGACCCTCGGTGGAGGAGAGGCCGTTTCTGACTCCACGATTTATGCTTACAGGTGGCCTTGCAGTTCCCCGACCAACTGCTGGGAGATGCTGGGGTTGTGGCTGCACGACTGGAGGAGACCACAGGGTCGAAAATGTTCATTCTTGGGGACACAGCCTATGGCAGGTGTGACGTTGAGCTTCAGGACGGAGGCCTAGGGACCCAGGGTTTGTGGTGGTTTCCCTCCAGGACAGGGCCTGCCCCTAATGGCTCTGTTTCTCTTTGGTAATGCTCGATGACTGCGCTCCTCTCAGTGACGGTGTCTTTCCATAGCATCGTTTTCTTCACCGACACGGTTCCCGCTGATGACAGGAGCTCTCTGGTGAAACCTTTCTCACCCCTGGTATCTCCCCTGCAGCTGCTGTGTGGATGTGCTGGGTGCGGAGCAAGCTGGAGCTCAGGCCCTTGTGCATTTCGTCCTGGCTGCTTAAGCCCT